TGTTATGTTCAACACCAATATGGAATTGCTTAGAAATTATCATGCCGAAAAAAGGTTAGATGAAAACAAATACCAGTTTTTGAGAGTTTCTCTTTGGTTATGATAAGTATAGAAATGCTTCATTTCTTTAATCAATTGCGTTTATAGATCTCTAACATACTAACGTTTGTAGAATTTACGTAATTCGATAATTGCAAAATAAAGGTTTTTTTTGTAATTTATTTTGAAAGGGTCTTCTCTGACTATCTGCTAGTATTAAATCTGTGGTACTGTAGAGTTCGTGCTTTATATGAGTAGTGAAAATAAAAATTAACAACTGTTCTGATATAATAGATAATTGATTTAGTAAATAAAAGTTTGTTGAAGCCCCCAACAACATACTTATTTGCCTAAACTTATGCCAACGCAACATTAATTTAAGCACAGCTTAGAAATCGTATGTGTGTACTGAAAATTTTAATTTTTTTTAGTAATTCTGAAAAAGCACATTTAAAATAATTTTATTTATATTACAAAAAAATGTGTACCCAACTCTTTTATTCAAAGTCCAATTACTTGTGCCATTCAAAAGTGTAAAGCTGTCTGTTTTTGCATAATCGCTGCATGCGTTTAATCCAAGAAACCCAAATATGATAACATTATCTCTCTTTTTATTACGGTACATTATTTATTGTCTTATTGTCGTCCTCATTATTTTTTCGATGACCTCATTCTTTTCAGAAATCCTGGTAGAATTCCATCGAAACAGATATTGATAATTTTAAAAATGATTTTATTCGATTTTTTACAAGTAAAAGTTAATTTGAAGCTATGAACTGAAAAGCCTAATCAAATTTTAAAATTTCTCTAAAAAATTGCAAAAGAAAACCTGAAACTCAATGGTTCCCCATATAACTTTATATATATCTATTATGCATTTTCAAAGAACTGGTGTATCTCTTAAGGCATTGATAGTTTTTTGGCATTTGATTGATTTTATATTTCAAATCGAAATATGTTTATCATAATATAAATATTTTATTCAAACGTCACTTAATAAACCGCTGATGCCTATCATCAAATCAATACCGGAGACTGATGCAATTATTTATTATGAGAAGCAAAATTTCCCAGTTCTCGAAAGCAATTTAACTTTATTGCTGTCATAAGTAATGCATATTTGTAACCTTCCTCAGAAGGACGTGATGATTTTGCACTGAATTATAGTAATTCAATGTTACAATTATAGATGACAATGTGGCATATTGTCCACCTTATATAACAATTAGATTGTTTCTATAATTTACATTGTATGCAAATTCTTTAAAGGTTAACCAAAGCCTGTCTTCCTGAAGTGTGTAAGCATAAGATATCCATTAATTTTGACAGTACAATGTTGTTGAGATTGCCAAAAGGGAGTGGCTCATAGTAAACATTTAGTTTTGACATACATTATTAAAATAATTTTTTTATTCATTAACCAACTAAACTAAAAAAAACTCAGCCACTAAACGCGCCTTTAACGTTTAGATAAATATATAGATATTTTTTTAACTTGTCTTGATTTTTGGCTTGGTTTTAACATAACTTTAATCCATTTTACTGAAAGTAAAAGTATTTCATTCCCAAATAATGAATCTTATCGCCATATCTGAATCAAATGCATGTTTGGTGTATACCTTTATTAGAAACATTAACCGAAACCATTTCTTCATTATCGAATAACAACTTGATTACATTGTCGCGTGTTTTTTTACTATATTGTATCATGCTATAACGAATTATATACAAAATTTATTCAAGGTAAATGAATTACTATTTTTGATCGCCACTATTTTACTATTTATTTATTACTATTTTTCAACGCCAACAAATAAAATAAAATTGCAATATTATTGATTGACAATATATTACTAAAATGCTATATTTAATCAATGTTTGATAGCTTTCTTAACACGTTGACCGCTGGTTCCAAACACTTCCGCAGTCAAAGTGTTAATTGGACATGAATATATGAAGTAAAATAGCTATTTTTTGGCTCATAATCTGTTTATCATATCACTTTTTTAGATTCGAATTGCAGTACTGCACCACAAGTGGTAACCACGTGGTCTTCACTGTGGATACACGTGGCCAGAATGAAGAATGTGATGATGATGGATCACCTTCCTGCAAAGATGATATGGCTTCTACACCTCTTGAAAAATTAATACATACAAAGTAATATTATTATAAAAAGGTAATTTAATTTATGTTTGTTCTTAAATAATGTTTGAAGCATTTTATTTCAGATGGCAGGATGCAAAAATAACTTGGACAGGTCAAACTCCTACAGTATAAACATGAACGATATTTATATATTATACTCTAATTTATTAGTAGATGAACTTATAGAATTTTGAAATACCATGGTATGTATATAAATATGTTTTGAAATTTACAGACTTGGCATCTAGAAAAATATTTTGATACAATGTTTATGTTCCAAATGTTTAAGAGGGATTGTTTGAACTTGAAACATTTGGGAAATATACAGAATATTCAACATTTTTTAATAGATGCAATTTCCGTAAAATTTATATAGCTATTTAAAATATATTGTTGCCGATATTCGACTTATTGTTGATGTTACGATGAAACTGTTGAAATAAAGTACAAATGGAAATTGCAGATTTTCATGTTGAATGCTCGTTCTTAGGTTGGTTTCACTTTTTTTTTATTTTACCATTTAATTTACAACGTATTAAAATAGAATAACCAAAATATAATAAATGAATGATAGGTAATTAGTAGAATATAATTGAGCAATGGTAAAAAAAGTTTCTACAAAAAAAATTATTGAAAAAAATTAAATTTCTTCTACGTAGCAGGGTTCTAGTAAGTGTATTTTGTGCCTTTTTGGAAAAGGTATCGAATAGATATATTTATTTAACTTGGTCCGTAAATTATAATTTTTGAGGAATATGCTAATAAAAAATATCACCTGTGCATGAATTATCTAACTGAAATAATCAATCCATGCACAAATCTTTATAAATTCGTTCAACTACTAAATTATCTATAGGAATTCCTTTTTTTACTTTATCAGTCAATTATAAGTTTTATGGGATATACCAATGAAAATATCATCCATGCATGAGTCTAACTGATTTAAATAATTTTTCTTATTAATACTTATACAATTTCTACAACTACAGAATTTATCATAAAATTTATGGTTTATAAAGTATTCCTGTTATATTCAATTGGCTGATTTTAGGTAATTCCAATATAGGAATAAATAAAAAATAATAAGTCTTGGAAATATTTTTATGTATTTCATTATTACGTCATGAAAATGTACATCACATCATACTACATAAAAGCTATCAGCTAAAAATTTTCGACAGCGGTTTTTTGTAATGTCTGTGACAACATTTGAATAATTCATTAACCGTTTGTTATCAAACCACACATTGACAATATGTCTGTCAGGTACTATTAGAAATAGTCAAATTGGTTAAAATTTCATTCACTTATCAAATTGGCCTTCATCCATTGATTGGCTAATATTGATACTTTGAATAATTGAGATTCAAATAATGTCAACGGGAACGATTTCCACAAACGTGGAAAGCATGTTATTGTCGGCCCAGTTTTTCCAAGTCGTTGAACTCTTAAATAGAGAAACTCTATATGCGTTATGCAGGTACCGCTTGTTCAAGATATATTTTGTTATTTATAATTCACAAATTTATTTTTTATGTGTAAACGTTTCTTATTCGATTAGACCCTTATGCGAACAATTTGATTGTGAATTCACTTGCTATAAAACTTTACTTTATTGTTTATTGCTTAATGATATGTCGATTCAACATCAAAATTATTGTTTCAAAAGAATTTTGCTTTATCATTCCAACTATTTGGAAAAATATCTGAAAAATAAATTCATGAAGAAAAATTAATGGTATGAAGAAAAATTATGCAAGTAATCCACTTGATAGGTTTAAATAGCATGTACATTAAAATTTATAATTTACAATTGTCTTCAGCTTTTGTTTTCGCTTCTCTCATAATATCTTTTGTGGTTATAGAAATATTCAAAATCATTATAAGTAAATAGCTCTTCCAGGTATTTATTGATTTGCCTTAACAGATGTTATCGCATAAACGTTTTTCCCTAGTCTTTTGTGTTCAAGATCAAAATCTTAGGATTTGAGTCTGCTCACGTCTTCTTGTGGTGTCCTTACGTCATCGTCATCAACAAAATATCTGTGCAGAAGAAAGTCCAGCACTCTGATTCATCTTCCTCATATGACGGTGTGCGTTAGTTCCGGTTAATGTTCAACCTGTGTTAATAGGATTGTGGAGGTGTATGTTGTTAGTCTGCGAGAGTACATATATGTCTAGTTTAGGCCGAGAGCCTGAGACACAGAGATACCGAAATTAGTATAGTGGTCAAAATTAATTTCAATTTGTTTTAAATTAAAATACTTAAATGAAATACACAGCATATTCAGTCATCTAGAAGCATTTATTGGAAGTAAAGTCATATGTTTTACAGAGATAGTATAGACGTTTACAAAATACTCAATAAACAATTTGGCCCACCCATTAATTTCAAAATATGATATGACCTAACATGTCTAAAAAAACGAACCCACTGGCTGCCTATCAAAAAAAAAACAAGCCCACTCATCAAAAAATTGCTTTCGACGCCACTGGTTTAAGTCCATTATTTTGTTATAGAACAGTATGTGCAAAACTCCCTCATAATACTTGAAAACGACTCTCATAAGAGTATACTAAAAAAATCTGGGTAGTTGAAGTACAATGAGATATCATTCTTTTATTATTATTTTAGAGAAAAGATCAGTTTTCATCAATCTATGTCTATATAAGATTATATGCTCTAACAAGATGTGTAGAGGTCTTCTTCAGTGACAAGATCCATGTTAGAAACAATGTAGTGTCAAATATAATTTTATTTCTTCAAGTCTGCCGTTGTTTGTTAATTTGTCACGAATAAAAAATAACATTTGTCATTTATGAATAAAGATTTCAATTTGAAGAAGTTGCTCGTTTTTAGACTATTTTAGATTTATTTTGAAAATATATGTTTGTAAATGTTTCTAGTTGCATAAAATAGAAAGACTTTTTGATGAATAAATGAGCGATATGTGGGATGTATGAGATATTCATTTTAATGCTTACAATTAGAAACAAAAAAAAATATATCTGATTCAAAAAAATAAGCAAGCGTAAGTTACACCTTAATCTAATCTTATATAAATGAAGCATGTTTATTGTAATGGGCTTTCTCGTGGCATAGTGGTTAGAGCGATGGAAATTAAACCCTGGGTTCTAAGTTTGATGCCCGCTTCAAATAGACTGATGTCAAGCAGCAATGACATGATACGTACTTGGAAATATTGATTGAAATATTTTTCGAAGTGAAAATAGCTTTACCTATATGTCTAGTTATTCTAAATTAATCTATCATTGCTGAATCAATAAAAAAATCAGTATTGCGTAATTTGTAAAAATAAATCCATCACATAAAGATGGAACAACCGTTTGGGTTGCCATTTATAAAAAGCCATGTCGATTAAAAAGTCAGCACAACGGCTTACAAGACTCGTTAAGTTTCGATTGCTGTTAAATTAATACAAATAAATAATTAATTCATGAGTAATGAAGATAAGTGTTTTTCATATATATTTTTTTTTACAGCTATTAGAACATAAAAGCCCTAGGAGTTGTCGTAATGGTACTACGGTTGGTTTGTCTATATTTGATATATTTTAATTATTTAATCTTTTCTTGTACTGATTATACATTTTCAATTTGTTGCAGCAATGCCGGGGAAAGAATATCTTCACTTGTAAACATATTCTATTTAGAAATATATTTTCAAGTGGAAACGATATTTTTGCAGATTGATATCAAGTTGATACCCGATACCTGGAAATTTGGGTTGTAAAGACCAAGTTCTTACTAGATGATGTATAGACCAAAGGCGGGAAACCTTTTTACTATCAGAGGTCGCATTTAAATTAGCTGATTGACCTAACAACTTTATATAGAAAAAGCAAAATGAAATACTACAAAATTTTAAATAGAATATACATATAAAAGAATATAAAAATATTACAAAAAGTAAGATGAAAAGTAATTTATGCGTGTTAGAGTCTGTGTTTCAGGCTAGTATAATATGACTGTCTTTGGTAGAATTTTTCGCGAAACTATCATGACGTTGATGTATAGAGTCCGCCGAATAACTTTTTTTAAAAAAAAACTACTGAATATTTCCTCCAGTTTCTTTTTTTTATTTGAAAGTACAATCCTTTCAGTTAATAATGAAATTATTTAGTTAATAATGATTATAATAATTCATTCAAAAATGAAAAAAATGCCTCGGTTGACCGTTGAAAAAATAATGAAAATGAAAAATGTTAGATGTCATACCCTATACAATAGTGTTTTGAAAGAAACTCTACCATTTTGTGCTATGTGGCAAAGGATCGCACAAAAACCTTGCGGAGGCCGCAGGTTGCCAACCTATGATATTTTTATAGACCCTCTACTATAAAGCCACGAAGAAAACTAGAAGAACTATTTCGGTTACTTAGATGGTTTTATCTATTCACTGACTTTTATCTTTCATTACAATATTTATTTATTTTACAGGTGTGTCGTGTGCTCTCGTATTAATATATGTTATTACATACAACAGTACAGAATTGTTATTAATTGTACAAAAAACCCAAACGTGGTATTGACGGCCGTTTTCGTTTAATGTGACCAAGCAATTGAATTCTTCGACTTGTTTACATCGCGCAGATTTCATTTACCACTAAATCGCTTCATTCGCTTGGTTCGACGAAATCGACGGTCGAGGCCTGTCGGTTACCATCGTCTCGTGTCGATTGTTTAGTATATACACGACCGACTGCTTTTCGAAAACTGCAGTTTGAAAGAATAATAAGTCAGTGAAACATCGTTTGTGAATATTAGAAAAAAGGCGGATTTTAAAGAATTTGCAATTGATATTAAGTGGTTTTTTATTTAATTAGTTTAAGTGTTATATAAGTGCAAAATCATGACGTTAATAGGTATGTATTGATAATTATCAAGCTATTTTGATAGGCATCTTATAGTCCATATTTGTTTCAATTGTAATACTAAAACATAATTGGTTTTTGTTGACATTTAAAATAAAGACATCATATACGACACGCAATTTTTTTGCCTAAACATTCAATTATTATCAATATAAAAACTCTGACCATTTGGTATATTATTATGTATTTATAAAATACAATAATCTATAATAATTTTTGAAATAAATATTTAAAAATCATAATTACCAATAAGATACAAGAAAGTTTTGGATCTGATTAAGAAGTCTTAAGCACGTGGTTATTATTCACAGCAATGGCGTATTACGCCGGGATGGCAAGCGATGCTCATCCAAGGCGATTCTTTTTTACACTAATCAATCATTTCTGATTGTAAATATAAAATGGTTCTAGTACTTTTTTAAAATAAACCCAGATTAATTTTTGAATTAGCCTACGACGATCATCACCATACGTTTGTTGTATTTTTATTATATTACTATTATAAAATATCAGCAAATACTTCGAGTATAGTTAATTAGTCAATACTGGATTAGACAACTACTGGGCTGCCATCCATTCAAAAATCCATATCTAATAAAGTCAAAACAATTACTGAATGTCCTATGTGTGACAGATTGTAATTAAAAAATAAATTATATTATTATCCTGCTTCTCTCACTTTCATGTTTATTTTTCAATTACTAGTTTTCTTTTCTCTTTGTCATGTTTTTTATTTTATTTTTCTTTTTAACAGTACACTATATAGTTTCATAAGGTTTGTATCAGATTTGATAAAAACTTTAATAACTCTTTTTCTGCAATAATTTGTACCTTCAACACTAGATAATTTTCATATCTTGAAATAATCTTTTTTGTTTTAAAATTTGAAAATTATAAATATTTCTTATAAAAAAACAGCGCCAAAATTTGTACATATTGGCTTTTCTTTCTACTTCCTCACTTTGCGATGTAAACGTTTAGATATCAATTTAGATTTACAAGACTTTGCAATATTAAATTCAAATATATTCAGAATTTTTGAAAATAACAAACGAAATCAAAAAACAAATTAAACCAAAAAGGTTTGATAATAATATGAGGCTTGATATTATGTCTTCATTTGGAGCATTTTCAAATAATCGAGCCCCTCAATTGATTAGCATAGTTTAAAAAGCCTTTTCTGAGAAAATGAAGCAGTATCAAAGACATGGAAAATATTGTTTAACTAAAATTTCGGCTAAATCGGAAAAGGGGGTATTATTAAAACATGATGTGAGGGCGTTCATTAATCACCTGATCATTCTTTTCAAAGAATTTTTGGACCCTCCTTCCTCTGGGTTACACCTTATTGTCCTTAATATATTTGAAATTACCTTTCCCAAAATATCATGTTTATTCTTAGTATCTAGAAAAATCGTAAAATTTTGGATTTTTTATTAAATTTAGTTTTTTCTTTTAAATTGAGGTAAAAAATAAATACACTTGAAATCTTGTTAGACCTTCGTCTCCTTCACGTGATATTTTGTAATTTTTTCTCAAACCATCTCTCTCCTCCAAAGTTCTTATTGAAAAATCCTAGATTATAGGTGAGATATAACACTGCACATTGAAGTCAAACTTTATATATTCAGAGATGTCATGAAAACTATTGACTCTTAGTAATTTAATCAAAACAAAGGGAATTATTATTATTTATATTATATTAGATGACGTGCTTTAGAGTATTCGAGTATTTAGATAAAAAAGAAAGCTTATTCAAGGGACGGTTGCTTTAAATTAGTAGTTTATCAAATATAATAGATAATTATTACATATTTTTTAATGTACATATGTAGTTTGTGAAATGAATGTTTTTTCGTGCTTATTTTACACACTTTGCTGTTCATAATCTTGGGCTTAAAATCGAAAACATTTTTAAACTTTTTAATTTTTTTTTATTCAACAATTAATTTAGAACTGTCCTACATAGACATTGAACTTTTTAATCATTTTAAATTTTTAATCTTTGCATATAAAACGAGCCTATCTATATTGAAACTTGTATTATCTTGTCCACTTTATTATGATTTTTGAAAATGAAAATAATAAAATTCCGAAACGTACTTATTTGGTTTTGGTAATGTACACAAATTTCTTTTAGAAAGATCAAAAGGGTAAATATTCCCTTTCATTTCTTGCTAAAAATATACACTTGTTTTCGTTAATTGGTGAATAATTGAAAAGAATTTTCAACATTGTATCTTCATCTTCGAATTCTTAAAAATTATTGGATTGTAAAAAATTGGTTCCGTATAACAAGGTTAAAATAAGAAATTTTAATGCTGTGTTGAAATGATATATATTTGGAGATATTTTGCAATCTGTGACAAAACTGTTACGTGCATGATCAGAAAATCAATGAATGCCATATACCTGTATAAAAATGTGCCCAGGTGACATTAAAATAACTAATTTACCGATTACGTATTGGATTTTTGGCATTTGGAAATACAAAGGGACTGTCGAAAATGTTTTTGGTTTTTCCCAAGGATTTTGATCCCATTATGTTGGGTTGCCTGGAATATTTCTTTCATAATACGTCTAGTGATGCTGAGTTGAAATTCTTGGAAATTTTGAAATGGAATTAATTTCAATTTTAAAGGTTTAAAAATACGTAAACTGTTAGTATATAACAAGAATTTTAATTTTTATTTAATTATTTTTAAGCAGTTAATTAAAAAAAAAAAACTATATGATTTTTACATTTTTGAAAAAATATTCTATTTATTTTATGTGGCTTTGGATCTTTTTTATTGACCACTAATCAACCAGTTATGCATTTATATTTTATGCATTATGCATTCAGTTTTTTAAAGTGATAGTATATTTTCTTAAGTTGAATGTTAACATTTAACATTGAAATAAATTCTTAAACTCTTCTCTATGATCCTTTTGCGTTTGTCTTATTAAATTCAAATATATTTCAATATTATACATCAAGAACTTGTGGAACTTTTGCCATATTGACTATGGAAAAACTATTATTTTATTTAAATTTTTCTGAAATTTTATATATGACTCAAAATTATTCGATACGATTTTGTAGATAAATAAACTTTTGATTTTATAAAATTGACTTTGCTCTATTTTGATGGCCATTATAGAATATGCAATACTGCCTCAAAAAGTAGCACATGTGTTTTCTTGAAATAAATGGTACTTATATTGAAATCTTGACTGTGATTCATTCCATACCTTTTAATTCTTCTTTATTATGATAGAAAGATTATGCAGACATTTGGAGTGTTACGTTATTAAATTATGAGTTATTGTATCCACATTTATGAAACTAAGTAATTAAAAAAAGATATTACAGTATTAAGGAAACATATCTTGTTAGAGAGTTTTTTGCATGTCTCTTTTTTTAAACTAATAAAGTATATATATTTCTCTAAGTAAATAAATTTTATATATATTACTTATATATCATTTTTGAATCAATACAAAAGTGGAGTAAAAATAATTCAATATGTAGGCTCAGGTTGTTGAGTGTTTTAGGTATTATTCTTCTTCCTATTTGCGTCTATCTTAAATCATATTATGAAAAAAACATACATTCGAGACTGTATAGTACTTCTACTATTTCAACACTATATATTTATAAATCGTGGGGCTTTTCCCATATCAACCTTCGCGATCTGACGTGCGCGTTCGATAAACAATATTGCATCGATCATAACAAATGCTTCACCTGGACAGCCTTGCTTTTGTAATGTGATATGCAATGTGATAGCTCTGATTCAATTATGTGCTAATTATTATTAATTTGACTAATAACTGACACAGAAATAATATTTATATGCATTATTGTACGTAATTGTATCGTTGTTTCAAATTACAATCGTGTGTCAGAACTGTAAATTACAAACAAAATTGATCCATTTTGGTTAGATCATATTGTCTTTGCTAACTAATGCCATTAGCCCTAAAATATCGTAATAGATGCAATATGACCAATTTTTCTATTCATATACATATCACCATGTATTTTATCTTTTCAGTCCCATCAGTTTCGAAATAACATGCTTATGAGGACTACTTTCAGGAATTTTTTTTTTATATTCATTCAGTCTTGTCAATTGTCCATATATAGTATATGGATATATTACATAATGTAGTATATATCTATATTGTCTATATATCTCACAAGAATTTCTATTCAATACCTGCATGTGCAAATGAATGGGTTTACTCATTGAATCAGAGATTCTGGGTTCGATTCCCATTTCAAACAATTTGATGTCAAGCAGTAGTGACATCTGTTTTCATCTGGAAATATATATATAGCAAAAAGTTACCAAGTGAAAATAGCCTTTACCCTTCATTGCTGTACCAATAAAAAATGTCATTGTCAGAATAGTTGTAATAATAAAAATAATCACATAGAGATGACAATTATTTGGGTTTAAAAAACTAACGTAGTTTTGAAGAAATTAATTGCAAAAGCTCATAAGTCCCTTAAGTTCTGATTGCTCTTCAAAAATAATGATTAAAAAAAATTCTAAAGATTGTTACATATAATTATTCAATGGTTTTTAATATCTTCTAGTTCTTTCTCAGATTATCAGAAAAATGATGAAACATTGAAGCTTTGTTTTAGAAAGAAATATTAAAGCCTCGAATTCCACTCAAACATAACTAAAACAAAACAAACATAACTAAAACAAAACAAACAAAAAAAACATAACTAATAAACTCTACACATATATATTTGTATTTACTATTTTTGTTTCTAAGTTTATATACTGATAAAGAAAAACAATCAAGTTTGGTATTGTTTTCGAATTGTTTACATTATTCCTTTGATGGAATTTTTTAAAGTGTATCTTTCGTGATTATTGCTCATCTCTCTCAACAAATACTGAAAAATACTTATTTATATGATTTATTTTATATAATCTAATATGACAAGAAATAATTTATCGTAATAAGATAAAGTCCTTAATAAACCG